GTTACCACGATTCCTATCGATTCCTACCCGGTCCTTTCTGGATATTCCCGGTTGGGCATATCAATACGTCGTTTCGCTGCTGCAGATTGTAATATTCTCTAACAATGTAAATTATAAAATTGGGCTAAGACCGCGTTCACACTTCGCGATCGGATCGCTCGAGCGACTGGATCGCGCTACTGCGATCGGAGGCGCTCCGCCGCCGAACGGTGCAATTCAACGTGGCACTGTTGAACGCGGCTCAATTTGAATTCTGCCGTTGCGGGGCTGCATAGCTTGGCAGGGCTAATGCCGTTTGGACTCCAGAAATTTCGTCTTCGAGCTCATTTTCAAATTGCCTAAGTCACCAAATCCACTAAAAACTTCATTCTTGGCGCTGGCGCCAAGAGAGGACACTACGATTACCTCCTGGGCTCAGCCTTAGCAGAGCGCAGGTAACCGTAGTGTCATCCATTAGCGCCAGCGCCAAAAATGAATGTCATATTCGTGATCAGGATGTTGAATTTCCCCCTACAAGTTGCTTGGATTTTCCCCCTACAAGTTTTAAGCGGATTTGGTGATTTTTGCCACTTTTAAAATGAGCTCGAAGACGAAATTTCTGGAGTCCAAACGGCATTAGGCGCTTGGCAGAGGAGTTCCCCCGTCCCGGTCGTAATCGCATCATCTGCGGCGGAGCCGATCCAATCGCAGATTTCTGAACGTGGTCTAACTGAAGTTACACTCCTGCGACAACCCGTGTTATGATTAACTGAACATCCTGAAAATAAGGTTGCGCGCACAAATAGTGGATGAACTGCCAGTTTTAATTTTTTTTATGATCTGTCTGGCGCATTGTTCTCTACTGGGCTGCACAGGAATTGTTTGATCTACTGGGCTGCACAGGAAAGTTTGATGGACAGTTTTCCTTGGATTTATGTGTAGCTGATGATTCACTTAGGAAGATTAACGCTGAGATAGATTAGAATAGGATACCTCTAGTAAAGCCAAGATTGCTTTTGAAGAGAACATTTCAAGATCGTAGCCCTGACAGAAAGGGCTCAAGAACGTGGCAATTACTACTGAACTAGTTTTGTAAGTTACAGATAGACGAAGAAGTGATAACGTTGGAAGAAGACGATGGAAGTCCATCAGAAGGTTCGGGACGTATCACACCATCAACGGCATCGCGTCCAAGAAGTGCAGCAAGTTCATCGAGGAAAGGCACTCCAAGGGTATCGAAGGAAGAACGAGAAGCGGAAAAGGCTCGTAAAGCTCTTCAGAAGAAACTGAAAGAGGAGGAGAGAGAACGTGCGAGGGTACGTTTTTTTGATGGTTCTTAACATGGTATTAATTATTCATTATTTTTTTCAGGCAGGAGAAAGAGAGAATTGCTGAAGAGAAACGGCTTGAGAAAGAAAGAAAAGAAAGGTATTAACAAAATTATAAGGTTTCTCAAGGTTTTTATATTCCTACTATTCCAGGGAGAAAGAGGAGAAACGAAAAGAAGAAGAGCGAAAGAAGGAGGAGAAACGAAAAGAAGAGGAACGAAGGAAAGAGGAGAAACGAAGAGAGGAAGAGGAAAGAAAAGAGCGTAAGCGAAAAGAGGAAGAGGAGAAACAACGTAAAAAGGAAGAGCTGGCTCAAAAGAAACGTGAAGAAGAGGAGCGTAAAGAGGCGAAACGTCGTGAGGAGGAAGAACGAAAGGAAGCCAAACGACGAGAGGAAGAGGTGTGCCACTTTTACTATTGGTCTTTTTCTCAGCATATGTTCTCAGAGTTTTTGCTCCACCCATTTCTCGTAACTGAGAAAAACTCGCCCTGTTTTAATGAAAGTGTCCACTCAAATGCTGGGTTCAAGGTTATATGCAGCTAAAAAAACACCTCAGGAAAGGCACGTCCTGTTGCGGAGGAAAATTTTTCCAAAATACGACCACAATTTTCTAATCTGATATGACGTGTCCGTCCATTCTCCATCCCACCTACTATATTGGGGGTTTGGGGGGGGGGCGGTGGGGAGAGAGAGGATCCGCGAAAGTTTAAAAAGTTGAAAACCGCGAAAAGTTCCCTTGGGACTAGATGGAACCCCTACTTCATACTGGATGCAGAGAGCAACGACGCTTTTTCTCTACAATGAGAGTCTCTCAACGACGGATAGCAAAAAAAAATACGACCCACCCCTCCCTTCAGAGAGCAGTTACGACCCCGCTCCCCATGGGAGATTTTCCAGTGTACCATCCACCCTGAGAACAAAAAAGCTTTACGTGACCAAGAGTCTGCTCGAATAGGACAAAGTAGTCGAATGTGGCGGTCGCAGGATCCGCTGGGGAGATCTTTGGCCGCGACATTTCCACCGCTGAACATGTTTCATATTGAGGTGAAGTGGTGACGATGTGCTCAAGTTCACACGCGCGGCATCTCCGTCACGCACCTCTTTCATCCGGGTGTCGGACAAAGATGAAAGTAGCAGAAACCTCTACAGCGTTTTGGCGCTTTTTTCCTTTTGCAGATTTTGCTCTGCTAAAGGCTGAAGTGTAATATTGCAGAGAGTTTCTCCATTTAGCAGTCCAAGCGAACTTCCCAAACCTTCATTCCCGTCATAAGTCTGTCACGGCATGTGATTGGGAGTATGTAAGAAGGAGGTAAAAAAAAACTGCGACGTTAAATGCGGTGGAAGTGTTTCTAGGAATTTGGCCCCCTGTGCACAGCACGGTGATGAAGTGAAGCGTGCAGAGAAGGAAAACGATAGAAGGGGAAGGGTGTGGGGGTCCTGGATCTAGACCAAGACAATTTTGAATTTTTTCCGGCGAATTGTATGGGGAGTATAGAACGTGAGGGGCAGAGATAAAGCGCAGCAACAAACGCGAAAAAGTAGGGAAGTATTTAGTGTGTCCCTACACTACAAGGGAGGGGCATGGGTGTTCCTCTGCTGAAGACATGTTTAAGCTGGATTGTATAAGTGAAGCCACTTGAACCAATGCAGTCTCCTCATTGATGCGTTCGTTTTGGCCATCGAGATAAAGGATAAAATCTTCGCCGTTGATCAGCCCCTTTGTGGGACGCATTCTACTTCCATTCAGAATCGTAGTGGCTTATTGAATGCGATGTGGCCTATACAATGACTTGCGGGCCAGCCGATGTACAAGTCAGTGTTTTATCCTCCCAGACGAATCTGGTACCAATTTACCGTCCCCGGAGGGTAGAAGGCTTGGTTGGCCTGGGCGGGAGTCGACCCGGGATTCGAACCCGGCGCGAGTGGTAAGCGCGCCACTTGTCACTACACCACCTCCGCCTCATCTTATCCTTTGGCCATCGGGAAGGCGAAACAAAGCATCGAGAATGACACATCGGTGCCTGACTCCACCCATATGACCAGCGCGGAACGTGCCTTTAAAGCACTGTTCACAGTCTGCTATCCTAACGAGTTGGACAACCGGCTAAAGGAAATGAATACGCGTCTTCTGTGTTCCTAGTGTTGTTGTCAGGAACGCTTCTCTGACCAGAGCTTTCCAGCGCTACCGGTCCATGCATGAAGCTGCTGACAGGCTAGCGGCAGTCACGTCCATCTTCAAGTTGTCCCTCCTTCACGATCTAGGTCGGTTTTTGACGTTTACC